GTGCTGACGAATGTGATTAAAAGTGTAATGTTTATAATGGATTCATATCAAAGTGTATAGTTTAATAATTGTGCTAACGAATGTGATTAAAAGTGTAATGTTTACAATGGATTCATATCAAAGTGTATGGTTTAATAATCATGCTAACGAATGTGATTAAAAGTGTAATGTTTATAATGGATTCATATCAAAGTGTATGGTTTAATAATTGTGCTAACGAATGTGATTAAAAGTCTAATGTTTACAATGGATTTGTATCGTAGTGTAGGGTTTGTGATTGAAAGTCTAATGTTTACAATAGATTTGTATCAAAGTTACAACTCTAGTACATCTGTCGCTGAGGGCGTGATTGGACAATACTGCTGTCATACATCAATATTTTTTATTTGTTGCATAAATTAGAGATAGTATCTCTGGTCTGTTTAGCGTAAAACAATGTGGTCATCGCAATCCATGAACATAAATGAAATGGTGAATAATACCATAGTTACCAGAATAATGATAAATAAAAAGTAACCCATGCAAACATCAACAATACTACAGAGAAGCATAAAATAGTGTAAAGGGTAATGTTTGGTGTGAACAACAGAATAATTCTTTTGTCAGCAAACAGATATTTGTTGATGAAATGCTGAACAATGTGCATCTGATTTGCGTATGCGTGAGGTAATTTCAAGCGCACACGCACACTCGCGTTTTCATTAATTTTTCGAACGCATACTGACGTGTTTGCTAATAAATAGTTTTTATTATGATAACATATACTGTTCATACGAGTTTGAATATTTAATGAATATTTAAGAGGCGATGTGAATAACTGAATAGTTATGCGCATTTTATTCAAAAATCCATTTTTATATTATTTTTTATAAGCATATTGTTTTATTTTAATAAAATATTGAAAGCTTCAGTGCGCATGCGTTCCTGATTTTACCTATACGTAATGGTTTTAAAATTAAAAACTCGTGTTTTCAATATTTCATTGAACGAATGCGTTATTTTTGTTTCGCGGTACACCGTACCCTAAATGTTGTTATATGTATGCTAACTAACTAAATTAATTAAACATAATAACTGAACTGTTCGCAACATTCCGTAATAATACATTTACGTTCAAATACAACCAATAACTTGAATACACAATACCGTTATGCAGGCAATACTATCTCGTCAATCGTCAACGTGACATGACAGTTGTGGTTGGACCATCCGAGTCACGTGGTTTATACCACGTCACCAAAAGTAACCATCGTGTCATACGAGATCATGTGATTGGCAGTGAAATTAGGTCAAAGTGTTAAAGTCCGAATCATGGATCAACCACGTTGTCCCAGTTACACGGAGAACACGACAGGTGTTAAATTCAATATTGATATTGCGACAGTCTATAATAACTGAACTGTTCGCAACATTCCGTAATAATACATTTACGTTCAAATACAACCAATAACTTGAATACACAATACCGTTATGCAGGCAATACTATCTCGTCAATCGTCAACGTGACATGACAGTTGTGGTTGGACCATCCGAGTCACGTGGTTTATACCACGTCACCAAAAGTAACCATCGTGTCATACGAGATCATGTGATTGGCAGTGAAATTAGGTCAAAGTGTTAAAGTCCGAATCATGGATCAACCACGTTGTCCCAGTTACACGGAGAACACGACAGGTGTTAAATTCAATATTGATATTGCGACAGTCTATAATATTTGTTCTTCAAAATTGTATTTAGTTGGTTAGTTCTTGAAAGGTAGAAGTCCTTCTACTTTCTATGGTTTGTTTAATAGCCACCAATCACTGAACGCCGTTCAACCTCTCGTACACGTACGTATTTCCTGAAATTAAACACACAATATTTACTACATTATACTAAAATATGCTTGGATATTTAGAGTAGTAACAAATTCTCATTTCAGGTCCGGATAGACTTAAAATATACCACGAACATTCACTTTTGAGATGTAATTGGTGGATAGTTTCGCGAATTGGACACGAAAAATGCATGGACTAAATCATTTGCTGACGGACGGCCGCTTAGGTATTAGCACTCTAACTTGCAACACATGAACCTAAAAGCGTTAGGCAATCCAACAAAAAACGACGTTGTACATAAAGTGCGTTCAAAGTCTTCACTATTTCATGCGACAAAGCCATACACCCCGCGAAAGCTACCCGCTACGAAATCTACATACCACGAAAGCCACTCATCGCGAAGCTACTAGTATGTGTATACTATTTTATTATTGGGTAGTACTTGAAGGTTACATTCTGTTATGCAAATGACGTTATGGCGTTTCCCTTAGTTATGGCGTAAACAATTACCTACGAAGGAACTCTGCACCTTTCACGATAAATAACTGCACCCTACCTGTGACTATAGTGTGCTAACATTTTGCGTTTGACATTGTCCTCACCGAGAAAGCATCGAGGGCCGTTTTGCTTTTTTATAAAATGGGTTGTGGGTCGTCATCGTCTGCTGGCAAAACTGTTTTTGAACAGAAGCAAGAAGGAAAGACACGATTGAAAGACGCTGATGTTCGTATCGGACTGAACGGGCCGGTACAAGTAGCCAAGCAACCTTTCGCACCTGCAGGTTCGCCGGTAAGTAAAATTTAAAAAACAGTGTATGTTGTTTTTGTGTTATGTTCTGGACGCCTTTTTTCGCCGTACAGTATAATAACATGGGATTACACGTCTTGTTGACCATTGGTGGAACAATAGTTAAATACATCGAAAACATATTTTTATTCAACGTCTTTGTCATAAGCAAACACTGGGCGATAGCGCCTTGTCGTGTGATCTTAGCTATTGAAATGTGTTCGGTGGACCATGGACCTGCGAGGTTTGAAGGTCCGTCCATGGTTGAACAAATGACAGTAACACTGACCGTGTCCTGAATTTGACGCGTATTCACAGTCTAAATAGTATTCAACACTGTTGGTACTTTAGTCCTCGCTGCTAGAAGCAATTTACGGCGTCGTATTCGAATTATGACTGAATTTATATATCTCCATTTTTTCCACGCTGGCATATCGCTGATGGTATGTCGTAAGTACAACAGACTCCTATTAATAACATGCACAATATATCACTACATTATACCATACCGCGACGGAATATTCACTGTGATTGTGTATTTCTGTTTTAAATTCGCCGACCTTGTCTTGGGCCCCCGATTTTTATGGACAACTCTTAGCCTTTCCGTGTTAGATCCGACCCCATGTGTTAACGATATTATTACCAATTACGGTAAAATCAAGCTCCCGTATAAAACGTCAAATAGGGAAAACTAACAGAAAAAATTATATTTGGAGTAGTAACGTAACTGTGTGAACGTGTTTCGAAATCCGGTTCCGTCGATCGTCAACGTCGAGCTTATTTTTTTCAAAAAAAAGAGAAAGTAAAACTAAGTCTTACATTCGCAATTCGTGGCATTGTCCGTGTTGAGAATGGCAGTATAGAAGCGTATCATATCCTGCATAGAATTATATTTACTTACAGAAAATGGGAAAAGTATTAACAAAAGTTGCCACCGCAACAAATGACATAAAGGTCGAGTTGTGTTTAATGCAATGTTCCCTCCTTATCCCGTCATGAACGATGGTTGATCAAGAGTTATAATACACACATTATTCTTCTTATTTGAAAAGTCTACGCTCAACTAAAGGCAAACAAATGCAGTCTGAGGCCTGGGGCAGCTATTATACTCGTTTTCTTCACCAAACGCTGTTCCTGAGTGCTGTTATTTTGTGACTTTTCGATTTGTTGAAAACATTCAGACTGAGTCGTGACATACGCAGGAAACATTTGACTTAAATAGCATATTCCCAGTAATCGGAAATTGCAAAAATATATCAATAGACGACTTGTAAGTTTCCATATCACTTGGTATTTGTGTACGACTACGTTTTACAATAAGTTGTCTCGTAAGTAGCCTGACGAGGTCGCGTGAGTTGCGCCCTCCGCGATGCTCCAAACCCAAACATTCAGCCGTCGAGGGTTAACTCACGCCTGCATGTCAGGCTATCTCGTAACCAGTCGTGCAATAATTACAAAGTCGTCCTCCAAATTAATTGCGAACGAGCCTATAATTTGCTGACGTCACCAGACACAAAATCACGTCCACCAGAAACCCACGAATGGTATATTGGCAGGTAATCGAATGTAATCAGTCGTAGCACTCCATGTGTGACCTCTTCGCATTACTATTCAAAACTATTTCATGACGTAGAGATATAATACACAATATGTTTTGAGAAAATACCGCCCGAAACAAAGTTATCATTGTTTGTCAACGTCCAGCGGTCATTGACCCAAACATCTGAAACGAAAGTAACGATCCAAGGTGTTATTAAGCACGATTTATTTCCCGGTCTCAAAATAACATTATTCGTTTTGTCTCTCATTTTATATATTAAATGTTTAATATTTAACTATAGCTGAGACTTATACAATAATGCCTGTGATCAATGGGCCATATAGAGGGCGATATATAAGATGTAATAATATAAATGCGGGCAGGTGTAACAGGCCAAAGATGTAGTCTTCAAAACATGTTATTTTTTTTGTTCATTTCCTATTGTCGCCGTAAAATGGTATGTTCACCTGAAATAAAATCACAAAGTTAAACTGTTAAAAACTGCCGAGGAAAGCACTGAATCGTGGCGCCTGGATGCTAACACAATGTGTCGAAGCTATCAAATTACGTGTTAGGTACTTGGCCCCTCTTTGTGTTCAAGCCATGCACCGTGCCTCCAGGGACGGTGGGCCATGCAGTGTTCAGAATAGACGAAGCTTGTTTCAATAGTTAGGTAGGCAATATTTGTTAATCGCCGAGCTGAGTAACCATTCACTGAACAAAGCTCAATACTCATCCACGGCTTTCATAGCAAAACTTCCGCATTTGTTCGACCGTATCACATAACTAGATCATGATTGATATACTAGTACACCGGCTAGCAAAACACGAAATTTCACTTATTTGTTTTTCATTGTTAGGCAATTTACCATGGTACTATTCTTCCTATGACGGACTTCAATCCTGACGTGTCAGCTGACAAACTACGAGAATCTATGAAAGGAGTCGGTAAGTCGGAAAGTGATAATGATGAATTCTGAGTAATTTGTTACAGAGTCATAACGTAAATTATTGCTATGCAATATTACGAGCAGTTGAACTATCCTCTGTAAACCGTGTCGTAGTAATACCAGGGTTACCAAAAAGGTCTTCCCAGGATCGTGCAATTAATCCATTTGGCCATTTATTACTAGATTTATGTATAAACTCTAACTTAAGAACTCTTAATGGCCGATTATTTGAAGATAAAGGACTAGGCCATTTTACATGTATTAAACCTACAGGTGCCAGTGTAATTGATTACGTCCTAACATGTTATGACAATTTTGAACTGTGTAGTGATTTTTCCATAGTTGATAGACCCGATTCTGACCACTTACTAATCACATTTACACTGAAAACTCTAACCCAAAATGAGAACGAATCCTCAATCGAGGGCAGTATTTTTACTAGATATA